GGTCCCTCCTTCTCCTTTGCCCTGTCCTTCTTCCTCCCCTTTCTCCTCTTTCTCTTCCTCTCCCTCACTATTATTATGTTTTTGAAAAAAAAATAATGTTTATTTTTGAGAGAGAGGGAGAGACAGAGCCCAAGCCAGGGAGGGGCAGAGAGAGAGGGAGAGACAGAATCTGAAGCAGGCTCCAGGCTCTGAGCTGTCAGCACAGAGCCTGACTCAAACCCAGGAAACCAGGAGGTCATGACCTGAGTTGAAGTTGGCCACTTAACCAACCAAGCCACCCAGGTGCCCCTCCCTCACTATCATTTGTTGAAGAAACTAGGTTCCTTGTCCTGTAGAAGTTTGCTCCAAAGTCTGGTTGTTGCTGAAATTTTAAAGATACAGATCTCATCCAGAGATTTGTGTAAAAAAAAGTTGTGGAATGTCTCACCTATCTCCAGATTTGGTTTGCATTTAATTGAAAAAATGCATTTCTGTGGTGGGTTATCAAAAGACATCACCATATTTGTTCCTGTGATTAGAGGGCTCTGCATCCGAGAAGTATGAACTTTTAGAATTTTTACACACAAAAAGTCTATACTATGGTTATCAGGAAGGACACAGTGAAATCAAACTGGAGATCTGTTCTTCACTTTGTATAGATTTCTAGCCCCAGTTAGGGACTGATACATGATGCTTTCTCCCCCCACTCCCGCCTTCGTGCCCATGAGCAACATTTGTTTGACAGCAAAATACTAGCCCTGGAGACTTGTATTGACAGAATTTTATTTCACCTTTATTTAGTAACTTAATCTCCATAAGACCAATAGCAATATGATTTCATCTGATACCAATGTCACCTCAAATGTGAACAGAAAATGTACATGGATTTGTCTAGTAACTTTGTGCCCGTTCAAGTGCATGATAGATTCTGACTTTTGCTAAAAGTTCATTATGAGCAACATATCACAATAAAAGCAGAAAAATATAACGGAGGCAGATTTTCCTATCAAGGTCATTTAAAGAGGCCTCCTCCCCTTCTACCCTGGCTTGAACTGGCAATTGCTTCAACACTAATAGTACACAAGTGACCAGTGTGTTGATTAATATATCTTTACAGCATTTGTTTTTAGTTAGTATGCCCTGCAGCTGGAATGAGCATATGCGTTGGTTTCTAAAAACCTTCATACCTTCATAATAAGGTATCTTCTCCTTACAAATATGGTTTATTTTTCGTTTTTAATTAACCTAATGGAAGTATATAATTTCTTGTGTGAAAGTAATCTGAGGTTTGGCAAAAACATAGCAAAAAGACAATGTTTTAACTGGTTCAAAATAATTTTTTTTCAGGACCAGTCATCAACTTCATATTCTTACCCAATGAAATTTAAGCTTGTCTTTAATGTTCACGCTTTTAAACACACACTGTTTGGTAACAGAGTAAGTCATGATCCCTTAAAATCATAAACAAAATGTTCCAAAAATCTACCCATTAGAAGGGGTTTCAAGTGATGATGAAAATATTTTGGTGTTTTTCCTGAGTTTTGAATTTGAAGTAATTTATATTTTATTGTCCATTTTAGGATATTTTATAAAGACAAAAGAATACCCAATGTGTTAGAATTCAGTCAGTGCTTTGGGTTGTCACCAAATCTAACAAAATTATGATTTCTGACATTGTTGAACTACCACTAATAAAAGGGGCATCTATCAATCAGGGTGCACAGGTTCTGGGAATCATGACTCCATTGCACCTTTTGGGTTCATTTCTTCCACATTTGTAAAGGATCAAAGTTCTATAAAAAATTAATAAACCTTCAAACTTCACCAACAAGTAACTTCTGAGGAGGCCCCTGAATAATGCTTTTGTTTACTACTGAAACATTGACACTTTAGTTCTAATCTTGCACAATAACTTGTTCTCAAACTAAAATTTTGAAAGTCTGAACAAATTATATCCTTTGGGAAAATATTTTTGGAAATTAGGATTTGCATTATGTGTTAAAATAGGTAGGAATTAACTACTTACGTTGTTAGTTTTGTACTATATTCTGATTTCTAAAACTGACCAAAACACAAACTCAGTAACTTTCCAACACTGGTCCTTGAAGCCCTATGGTCCACCTTTCACTGTACCAAAGGTTAATTTCAACAGAGAGAGTTGAAGATAAACCATTTTCCTCTGCAGATAATCTGAATATTGGCCACTCTTCCTTATTAAACATGAGTGAATTTGTTGGTAAAAAGAAAAAAAAAAAAGGTGGACTGGGATGAGCCAATTTGAGATTCATACTTTCATGGTCTCTGTTTCATGAACGAACAAAAACATTTATGTAAGCACATACGGACACACACAGGTTGGAAAGTTAGGGGAAAAATTATCTTTTAATATTTGTTGAAGGGGGGAGAATTGTAAGGTCTTCCATCAACTATTAGCTAAGTATCCCTCTTCATCAATTTTTACCTGCCCCTCCCACTTAATCTCTAAACTCACACTATCTTTAAGGAGATTCTCCTTGATGTTTAGTAAGCTCTAACAGCTTTGTCATAAATCAAAGTTCGTCCATAATTCGCATCCTGACAAGTAGTCTTCTTGAGTGCTTAGTTTAGAAAATTTCCTTCTGGCTTGCCTACTTAATCACCACCACTTCAGGCTTCTCAAACCTGTGAGCAGACAGACAACTGTTTCTTTTGCCTGCCTTCTCTGCAACTATTGTACCACCCCAAATTAGACCTATACAGTCACTGCAGATTACAGTAAGACAGACACGCCCCCACACACCCACACACGCACACTCTCTCTCTTTCTACCCTTCCCTCTCTCTCTCTCATTCTCCCACACCTCCCCTCCCCAACGCAATTTTATCCTTCCATAGATGTGTATTGTCAATACAAGTCAAAGCACCCTGGCATGGGTTAGAAGGTGGAAAAACTACCACATGTAAGTTCTCCCTCGTTGGGTGTATTTTATAGTTTAGTAATTTTCCCCAACATTGTTCAACTTGTTTTTCACTAGTCAAATCGTGTCACCTTGAAAGTCTGGAAGAATTACTTCCCGGGGTTTTGAGAGTAAGTTCAAATACTGAGAATAAGTTCACGAAGCAAAGGCCATTTTCTGCCCTTTAAAATGACCCCTGACCTCACTATGTTTACTCTGACCTCATTATGTTTACTCAAAGAGAACAAATGCTTTCAAGATCCGCCTAAACCACCTCCAAAAGGTAGTTACTTCTAAACTATGAGACATTTCCCCAAACTCCCTCTGTGGCGTGGGCAGCTGCGAGGGACTGCAGCCAGCGCCCGGGACAAGATTTTTCAATCGGCTGCTACGTTTACGGAGGGACTGCAATTCCACCAGCAGCATAGATTCAGAAACCATCCAACTAGATGGAATTCCCAAACTCTCCATCTCTTTCTGAGGCAAATCTGACATGGATCTGGTCGCAGCACAGGATAAGATGGGGTGTGGGGAGGTCAGGAAAAGAAAAATGTGGGGCTTACGTGTAACGATTGCTGGGCGGGGACTTAAAAACCTCCACTGAGCGAGGGCGGTGGGATGGCGAAGGGCGTGCGTCTTTGGGTCAGAGCAGAGGGGAGGCTGGTCCCCCTGTCTGCACGTGGAACCAGTAATTCCCTGTTCTCCGAACTCTCAGGTGCCCCTCCGCGCCACGCGTCTTGGGCTCCCCCAACCCGAAAGGGGCCCCGATTGGACTTAAAGTGGATGCCCAGCGGGGACCGCTCACCCACGCGCCCGCGGTGCGCTCCGGCGCTGTCGTCTCCCTGCCCTTTGGGCCGCAGAGGAGCCCCTCGGGTCGGGAGCTCGCGGCGCCCGCTTCAATCCTTCCCCGCCTGGAAATGCAGATTCTGGTTGCCAAGGAAATCGCCGCCTGGCCCCTGCCGTGCCCCCGGCCCAGGTTCGTCCTGAGTCCCGCCTCTGGCTGAAGGCGCCGCATTTCCTTGAGCGCCACAAAGACTTGCAAAAGTGAGGCGGAACAGCACATTTTAAACGGGTTCCCCGCGCCTGTCTCTCGCAACCATCGGGGCGCTCTAAGAGCTCGTGAGGCAGCGCTGCCCCAGGCGCGGAAAGGAAATCTGGGGTTCTCCCGAGCCTGCGCCCGCGGTGTGGATTTTTCGCCACGGCCAGGACCGCCCGGGAGCGCCAGGCCGAGGGGAGGGGGCGGGACGCGCTCAGCGGGCGGGCAGGCGTCCGGGGACCGCGGTGGCGAGGCGGGGACCCCTGCCGCCCGCTGTCCCCAGCATCTCTCCCCGGATGTGGTCCCGCTGCGGTGGGATGGCTGTGCTGCGCTGTGAGTTTGTCTGGCAGCTTCTACTGAGCAGCTAATAGTATAACAACCCGGCTTTGATAAATCTGAACTAATTACCCCTCTTAATTAAAGTCTTTAGCAGTTGTTTCACTGTTTTGGCAAGAAAACAGGAGAGACTTGCAGTTAGAAAACACCAGAGCCCGAGCTCACAGTGGAGCTGCTGATTAACACTTGAAGCATTTCAAGGACCTGGCACCCGCCACAGTTTGGTTTTCATCCATGTTTCCTCCTTGATTGGAAGTATATTCGTCTATAAACATATATACACACATAAAAACACGGAGGATCTTTTTGCCAACTGTGTACAAGTCCGTATGTGCATTCAAGATGCAAACAATAGAGCTCTTTCTGTATGGTATTGTCCTAATGCACGTTTGGGATGTGCATTACACACATCTCCTAGATACCTTGTTACCATTTAACTGAGCACTTCAAACGTATCAGATGGCCCAGGACAAAGATGTTTCTATTAGAAAACTCCACAACCTCTGCCTCTGAACTTTGTCAAATTTCGTTACTTTACCGAAGTTGTAACTGTTTAAAGAGACTATTATTTTGTTCTTGGTGAAATTTGCAAAACAAACATTAGGTGGTACTAACCCAAGGTGGAACTTTTAAAGAATGTGGAAGAGTGAGGGGGGTCAGAATAGTGGTCTCTAGCTGAATAATATGAACAGAGCCCTTATGTTTGTTGATTAAATAAGCATGTTCCAAGTATTTATTTCCAACAGCCAATGAATCAATTTTCACGTGCAAGATTCAAAATCAAAATTCAAATTCATCCATAATGAGCCACCTTTCTCGTGTGTGTGTGTGTGTGCACGCGCGCCCACGATTGTGGAATGTGCCTTTACAGGCACACACATCTTTGCGTGTGTATATAACATACACACTGTGTCTTGTTACCTCAGGGAAAGAGGAAATGATAATAAACCATCGGCAGGCATCTTGAGACCGCAGAATAACACAATGGAAATATATACAATAATAAAATTAAAATGGTGCAGCATTCCCGGGTAGGATAATACAGATCTCAATAAATACAGCAGAATTTCGTTTAAAAAAAAAAAAAGAAGAAACAAAACACCATCTCTCCACCCGAGATGAAGTCTTTTTTCCAAGTTTAAAAAAATCAGAAAACAAGACCCCCAATTTTCTCATAATCGTTAGTGCGTATATAGGATATAATACACAGAACCATTCAGCAGGTGCATGCAAGAGGCGAAAGGCGGGGGAAATGCAGAGGCTTTTGATAGGCGCTAACATGTGGGGCCCAACACGCCCTGGGGTCTGCAGACATTTCCCCGATGCCTCGGTAGTGGGGACCCGAATGGGGCTGGGAGGGGACTTTGGCCTTGATCACTGGTGGGCCGGGTGGAGCCCGGGCTGCAGGGGACCAGGGGGCGGCGGCAGCGGCGGCGGCAGAGGCGGCAGGGTGGCGGGCGGCATCTGCTGTAGAGGGGGCGTCGGGGCCGTGCCGGGCTCTCCAGCCGCAGTGCGAGCCAGCCCCAGGCTGCTGTCGTGTAGCTTGCGGACGTGCTTCTTGAGGTCAAAGTTCCTGCAGAAGCCTTTGCCGCACGTGGGGCACGTGAAGGGCTTCTTGTCGTTGTGAGTGTGCATGTGGAAGGTGAGGTTGTAAACCTGGTGGAAAGCCTTGTTGCAGATATTGCACTTGAACTGCTTCTCCCCGCTGTGGGTCAACTTGTGGTTTTTGTAATTCCCTGAAAGAGACAAACGACAGGGATGTGGGTCTGAGCAGAGAGCTTGGAAGGAGAGGAGTGGACGATTAGAAAGCAAGTGAAAGCGCTGCTGCAGCTCCGACAGCAGGTGCAGAGCTGCGCTCTTCGCCTGCACTCCTGTCCCCAAGTTTACTTGTAAATATCAACAATGAGGCCGCTCCTCCACGTTTTAAAACATATTCGTTAATCCAATTATATAAAACGAATTCAATTCTATAAAAAAAAAAGCGGTTAGGAAATAACCCCTCAGTATAGAAACCATGCCTTTCTCTAATGCTAATCAGATGCACGGGCAGGTGTGATGTCAACACACACACACACCGGTAACGGGGTGCACCTTAAAAATCATTTTTTCCCCTAACATATCTGGAAAAGATTAGAACTTTCAGGAAGACTACCAGTGAAAGGCAATGCCTCCTGGGTCCTATACCTTTTTGATGAAATCCTTTGCCACAGAATTCACACACGAACGGTTTGTAGCCTGCATGTATCCGGGTATGCGTGTTTAAAGTAGAACTTCTATTAAATGCTTTGCCACACTGGTTACATTTGTGAGGTTTTTCCTAAGCGGAAGGGAGGAAAAGCAGAGAAGTTAAGGGATGTTGCGGAGTCCTGCAAACTGAAAAATACAGTAATGCTGTCTCTCTTGCTTTTAAGCAGAACAAAGGCAAAAACATGGCATTTCCTCCTGTCCAGCGAGCACATTTTAAACCTTAGGCTAAAGAGTTAGAGTGTAGCGGCTGTTTTTCTACAAACCGTTGTGAAGTAAACCAGGTGAGACTGAAGCAGATGCACACACCTGGGTGTGAATGATCTTGTGCCTGCACAGGGTGCTGGCCTGCCGGAAGCCCTTTCCACACACTTTGCAAACGAAGGGTCTGGCTCCTGTGTGCACTGGCATGTGACGGGTTAAGTTATAGTGCGCATTAAAGACCTTAAAGTTAAACACATGGAGAACAGGTTAGCCCAACAAGCACTTTGAAATTAAACACCGCGGAGCAGGGGGAGGGAGGAGGTAACCTCTTAGAACATGTATACAAACAATTACAACGATAAAACGAAATTCGGAAGAAAGGAAGGGGGGAAGGAAAGAGGAAAGAAGGAAAGGAGGGAGGGAGAGAGGGACGAAGGAAGGAAAAGATGGGAGACCTCCCTCCTGCATAGTACTTGCCTTTCCACACACTTCGCAAGTGAAAACTTTGGGCTTGGTGTTAGGAGAGCCTCGGCTGAAGTCAGAGGTTTTGAACGCGATTTTCTCCGACAGAAGCTGAGCGCTTTCTTTCATATAATGCTGCAGCTGAGCCTGGGACAAGTCTTTGAAAGCGACTCCCGAGGGGTACTTCTCCACCGCCGGGACCACCAGTTTATTTCTTTCAGCTAAATACGTTTTGGGCTGAGGGTGCAGAGGGGAACTGAGGAAGTAGGAGGCCACCGGGTGGATGTTCACGCCGGCTGCCGGGTGGCACGGGCCGTCACCCCGATTCAGGTAGCACAGGGCTCCCATGGCGTGGAAGGAAGAATGGTTGACCACACGCGGCCTTACCAGCTTGTACTGCTGCAGCGGCAGCGCGTCGCGGGCCAAGTCGCCCTTGAGACTCAGCGCGCAGTTGAGCAGGTCGCTGCAGCTGAACGCGGGCGCCGCGGGCGCCGCCGCGGGCGCCGCCGGAGCCTCCAGACTCGCCTTGCGCGGCTCCGAGCCCGTCACTCCCGCCTTGGAGTTCGTGTCGTACGCCACAGGCACGAAGGGGATCATGCAGGGGATCGACGAGTTAAGATGCAAAGAGTGCTTGGGGTCCCCCTTGGGCACGGCTCCCTGAAGGAAGTGGGGGACGGGCAGGGCCTTGGGCTCTGGGGTGCGCGCCATGATTCGCTCGATGAAGAAAGCCAAGGGTTTGGAGGTGCTCATCATGTTGCCCCGGGCCGGAGCAGTAGCTAACATTTTGGCAGTCGCGTTGTGGCAGCTACTGTCCATGTCTGAGTCGCAAGCGTCCGTCAGCCGGGGCCGGGCTGCGCCGTCGTTGCCTTGTTCCCTGCTTGTCACAGACCTGTGGAGAGGAGGACGGGCACCATCACCACCAGCAGCCTCCTCCTCCTCCTCCCCAGCATCACCAGCCGAACCTGCCTGCCCAGCCCAATGGACTCCTGCCAGCCCATCGCAGAGTTCTTGGCGCACCAATGACTCGAGGACAATCACTACTTATTTCTATCAATAGAAAGTGTTGTGTCAATAACGCAGCCAAGATCTCGCCAATCGTTAACTTCCAAGAGGAGAAGGTAAACTAGATAATTGCTCAATTCGCTTCCAACAGTCAACAGGAAAACTTCTTTTTTTCTCTGCAGTCAGTGACTACTTTTCATTGGCGAGTGAAGTTCCCCCGCCCCAAAGAGGCGGGGGCGCTCTTCGCCGCGCGGCACGCCCTCCCCTCGGCTCTCAGTCTTTCGGGCGCACACCTCGCCACCCTCCCCCGCCCCTTGGCTTTTGCCTCCGTCTTTTTAATTCTCAATCTGCTTAACCAGGCTTTAAAGGCCAAGCAAATCTGAGATCAATTTTCTCGTTTAGCTCTAAGTGACATCATCTAAAATCATTGTGCAAGGGCTAAATAAGGAAACGGAGTCTAATTCAGGGGCAAACGCCCGGCTATATTTATGAAACGCCAGGCTCCAGAAAGCCACGGCCGGGAAGCCGACCGCAGCGAAATCCGAGCTTTCTCTGCACGGTTCCGCCGGGCCGACACTGGGCCCGGGTCAAAGCCGCGCCGCCTCCTCCGCGGCCCTCTTTCCGGGGCTCCCCTGGGGCCCGGGGCTGAGGACTCCTGGCATCCCGGAGTCTCTGCGGCCCGAGCCGAGTCCGGACCACTTGGAAGACGCCAGCAGGTAACTGGCCTCACGAAACGTCCCTGAGAATTAAAGGCCTTGGGAGGCTTGTTATGTGTTTGTGGTCTTGTGAACCCGGTGCCGTGACAGAAGTTTTGGAAAGACGCAGTCCATCCACAAAGTTGAGAAGGAGTTGCAAGGAACAGGCGGGTGTCACACGAAAAGAAACCTCGGCTACGGCCCGACCCCCCCCCCCCCCCACATACACAAATTCACACGCGCGCGCTTTTATACGTTTGCATTGAGAGCCCAGGGGGAAAAAAATATTTCTGTAAGTTCCTGCTCTCAGAGCTCTCTCGGAGCATTTTAAATACTGAAAGTTGAGCAGAAGGGAAACAAACCTATTGATTCCACCCCCAGCCCTCCACGTCCCTGCTCGTCCAAGCAGCGCGGGGGGCAGCCGGGGCGTGTGTGCGCACGGCGCGGCGGCGAGCACCGGGCCCTGCGGGCGCGCGAGCGCGCGGAGACCCAGCCCCAGCTGCGCCGCACTGCGCCGGCACCCCGGGCCTGGCGCCCGGGTCAAAACCCCGCGAGGCGCGGTAGAGCGTGAGGAGTGTTCCCGGAAGACCCCGGCGGCGGCTCCTCCGGGCCGCGCGGGTTCCCGCCGCCTGGGCGGGCGCGGTCCGGAGCGCGCCGAGATCCGCCGCGCTCACGCTGCCGGTGGCTCCCCTTTGCAAGCGGGCGATCCCGCCGAGCTTAGCCCTGGGACTAGCGGCTGCGCGGCGAGGGGTCGGCGGCCGCGAGCCCGCGCCGCGAGGTGGAGGAAGAGCGCAAACGTGCCAGTTCAGAACCCCGCGGCCTGCACGCCCCTGGGAGTGGCCGCCCGCCGCAGCCCAGGGTGCCATCTACCTGGTGAGTTACCCTCCGTGCGTGCGTGTAGAACGGGTGGTGACGGGTGGGTGTAGGTGACTTCTTGCAAGAGGCCTGGAAAGGGTCGGCAGTGGGAGCCTGGATGCAAGGAGACGGTAAAACCTGGGATTGTTGAGCCTCTGATCAATGGCACTCCCACATGCGAAGCTGGACCCCAAACGGAGGAAATTTGCCTCAGAATAAGCCCTCCTCCCTACCACAGTGCTCAGCACAGGCCACTCGCTCCGGCTTTTCGGGAGGGTCTGGCCCGCCCCGGCCCGGCGAGCCGAGAGAGGGGTGGAAACTGCGGAGAGCCAGGGCTGGGCACGCGCGCCCTGTGTCCAGCGGCGCAGCGGAGCAGCTGGATGGGTGGTGGGAACACGCGATTGCTAAGGATGTGGGGGAGGAGGCGTGAGTCCTATTGGAAGTTGGAGGCAGCCAAAGGGCTGAGTGGGGAGAAAGGTCTGGCCGCGACCGGCCTTAACGACTAGGCCTGGGAAATGCCTCGTTTCGGGTCTCGGGGTGGCTTCGGGCTGGGAGGCTGCAGCGGTACCCAAGTGCAAGGTGAGGCGAGCATAGGGCACTAGGGCCGAGTCCAGAGAGGCGCGCCACACCACTTCGGAGCGGATTTGGGCCCGGGCTCAGTCACCCAGTCACTCAGGGTGCGCCCAAGCTGGAAATTTCCTTTCCCTTTGCCGTTGGGGCCTCAGAAGCCGTCTCCCCTTCCCTGCTCAGACAAAGGGCGCGGGGACGGCTTCGCAGGGGGAAAGGCGGGGTCGAGGTGGGGGCGGTGGCGTCCCACGACAGATGGGTCGCGGTTAAGACTTTAATTGCTGCCTTTTGGGGCAGGTCAGATTTCCTTTCCTACCTGCCACTTCCCAACACCGAAAAGTCCCCCCTCACGCCGCACTCCTCTAACTTAGGGCCAGGTTTGCAGGCAAAAGCGAAGCAGCACGCTGCAGCCTGGCTCGGGAAAGCTTCGGGGCGCCCAGCGGACCCCTACACCTCACCCGCTTCCGGAGCGTTACCTGCCTGCGGGACTGAATGCCACCAGTTTGTTTTACGTTCGTCGCGTGTCCCTCCCCACTCCCCTCTCCCCCTCCCCCACTCCTCCTCCTTAACGGCAAAAGAGTCCTGTTTTTGACCTCAGTACATTTCTCCTTCGGTGGACACTGAACTAAAAAAGGAGACGTATTGGCTAAGGGGCATACGTATTTTATATAATTAATAGTTCAGCCGTTTGCTTTTCACTGGTCTTTTTGGGATTTGCCTTTTTGACAAGTGTTTGAAAGTATGGTGTCATTTGAGTAACGCAAATATCGGAAAGTAGCAATTATGGCCTCCCTTTAAAGCATCAGACCCGAGCTTGCTAATCCTAAAGACTGAAGAGGTGCTTTTGTAAATCACGGTCTTGATATTCCAACATTTGTTAGAGTATTTTCTATTCAAGACCTAACTGAAAACTGTTACTTTTAAAAAATATTAAGTAAAGACTGCCTTAAAGAAAATGCAAAATGTTTTTATGAAGGCTTCCATCTTATTGTCAAATCTGCCCAGTACTTTGGGGTTATTTTTACCCAAACACATTTGAAAGATAACAGAACACACACACACACACACACACACACACACACACACACACGAACGAAAAGCAGAGCATATTTGGCAAATATAGAAGCTTCTAAAACTGTTCAACACTTAAAAATTGTTTACCACAAGAATGCAAGACAACCTTGTTCCTTTCGTTAATGACAAAATAGAAACTCCGTTATAGTTTCTTTGGACTTGCTTTGAGAATCTTATAATCCCCTTTTTGGTCAGAGCCAGTGATTTAAGTGTCCCTCCCCTTCCCAATCACAGAAAGCCAACATTTAAATCCTCCTGGAAGATGAGTATTAAGTGTGTGGTTTATCCTGCCTGAGATGGACCCAGGGAAGCAGAGTGGTCCTTGATATGAAGAGGCCAGACCTTCTGAGAAAAGAAGAAAAAGTTCTACTCCTCTAAAATAATTTCAAGTTCTCAAGTTCTCAGTTTTTGCCTAGGGAGCCCAATTTTTATCTCAGTGCTTCCTAAATTGCGTTCTTGATTGTTCCAGAACTTACATGATTTTCACAGGCTTTTTATCTACGTTCCTATCACAAGCAAATGCAGTTTTGGGGTAAGACTATTGCAACCTGAAATAAAAGGCAATATAATGGAGCCATTGATTATAATCCACCATCTTTCCCCTCTTCTTCCTTAATAAGCCACAAAGTACTATTGGGTTTTTAAAAAGGAAAAAAAAAATGGATTGGAAAGTATTCTAACTCATCCAACCTTCTGCCAAGTGCATTAATTCGTCTCTGGTCATGTTTTTAGGATTTTCAGGCCTCTCCAACATCCACGGTCCCTGCCTCTTCATTAAAAATAACAGCCTGCTTTCTCGTTGCTTCTTATTAGCTACTGTGAGCTAAATGGGGGGAGACTAGATTATTATTCCAACCACCCTGCCTCCCTAGGCCCTTGGACCCATCCACACATCTTCCTGTTTAATAAATAGCAACCTACCCGCCTTCTAGAGGAGGAAAAACATTCCTAAATTCTTCTAGTTTTACTCAGTCTTTATCTCCGACTTGTCTTTTGTTATTTCCTGTGGTGTGTGATGGAAGTGGGGTGTTGGAGCAGGCCCCAAAGAGGGGGATCTGCAAGGTTCAAAGGAAGAGACTCGTTGAGTGCCTCAGATTAAGTTAATGAATACACAGTGGGAACTAACTTTCCAGCACATCAACAAACACAAGAGGCACAAGTTCTGATTCAAGGCTACTAGTGCGCTTTTCCTTTGGTAGCAAATAAAGAATTTTTGCTAATTTTGTAGAGCATGTGAAGGGCAGTGGCACGGGTTAGATGGAAAGGAGGGGACAGTTATCTCACAGAGCTCTCCTTCTGGGGGAGGGGAGCATGGAAAGTGGTTTGTTGTTTAGACCTTTGGTGTTTATTTCTTTTTATTGGGGTCTCCGCTCAACCTAATGGAATTATTGCTCTCCGAACAGCATTTACATATTAAATCAGTTTGTAAAAGTAAAGGAAGAGCCCCAAAGGTGAGAGCTATTAATGAGCCGGCAAGCATTGCAGACACCCTGCCCCTCCACTAACGCTGGGGTTTTTCTCACCCATTCCCACAGGCCTGTGAGGTGTGTTCCCTACAGACTCCGACTCAAGGCTGGACTTGGTGGAAAAAGAAGTTCAGAAACCAGCAACTCAGTTTCTCCAACTCATTCGAGAGGCTGCCGTGGAAGTCGAACTGCAAAAGCCAGACAAGTT